ATATAATATTGCAGCGGCTGCTCTATTGTCCTAGAAAACTGGATGACACCCCCCTTTCCCTGTTTAGTCTTGCCAGCGACTGCTGCTATCCTTAAAGCTCAACTCCATTGCTGAGCTACTCAGTGGCGTAAAGGGGGTGTATGATGCGCCGGTCGCAGAGGGGCGCCAAATGGTCTCCAAACAAGATTTTCATCATATCACTGTGTTTTTTTTCGGGAAGGGGGGCGCCAAAAAGGTATTTTGCCCCGGGCGCCAGTTATGCTCGCCACTCCACTGGAGCTACTCAGATCTTTTGTTTGCAACACTACAGAAGACACTGCCTCCGACGAGAAGGCATGAAAGTCCGCAAAGCGATCAAAACACCATGAGATTGTTTCGTAGTGATATCAGTGTTATAGCTAGAGACGGGCGAGGGTGGACAACTGTCCCTGGGCGTAGTGTCACGGAAATGCCAAACTGACGAAGTTTTAGAATGAAACAGTTTCCATACTTAGAAAACAGAAGGGTGTACGAAATCTGCAGTTGTCTTTAGGCGCTGAAAACTATAGCCAAGTCTTTAGCCATATTGGATGTCCAGTAATAGATTGCATGCATCTTAGGATGTCACCCACTGTCACCACCACCAGATGATGGGAGTCATTAGCATAGATATCGCATCATCTAAAGACGGCTCTCCAGTGGCCGAGCGGTAAAGCCGATAAACTCGGGCCGGGGCTCGAATCCCGGCGAGCAGATTGGCTGCTAACTAAGCGTTTTCATGGTTTCCATATGTGTAACCTATATACAGTCCAATTTCCCTTAGAAAGTCTTTCACGAAGCCATCCCTTCCCTTAGACAGGTAGCCCTCGAATGTTTCGCCATAACTAAATAAACTGAACCCAACTCATCATCTGTAAGAGAAGATATCAGTTCTTCATATCCTGGCGTGGTTGTTTGTGGAAAACCACTACCAGAGTTGGATTAGCCATTAAGGAAAGTAAGCACGTGCTTAGGGCATCAGGTAAAGGCGGCGTTACAAAAAGGTGCTTAAAGATTCAAAGAAAGAGTGCAAAGGCTCCACAAAAATAAAATTCTCACTGCAGATTTTAGAAGGAATACATAGTGCAGTTAATCCAAGCCCGAGAAAGAGGGAATGATGAGAAAGAGGCGTTATACTATAGATGTATGTGGAGGCAGCAAAATCTTTGAAGTGCTACGGGCATATAAAAGTCTAATTTGGCAATGAGCATTACTAAACATTCAGATAGCTGCTCCCTTTGTTCGAAATGTAATCCAAACTACTGACATGATGTGTATAGTCGCACTTTGGCCTTCTTTCAAACTTCCAGACAAAGTCGTCCAGATATTGTCTATAGAACTGTCACGCTGAGACTACAAATCGATGTTGTTAAAACCAAATGTACCGTGCAGTAGCTTCCGTTCATGTTTTGAGCATACACCATGCTTTATACCCTCTCCTACACCCCATAGATGTCATGCTACGTATATGTGCATGCTGTACAATACCGGACCCTAAGTGATCTCCTAATTGATCTTTTTGTTGCATCTTCTTGTTTGTACTAACGTTACATTAATTTCTCCATTTCATTCTTAATTTTTATTATTTATATAATTGCAGAACTGATCAGCTATCGTGGATGACTTCTTAAATCGCAATATTTTACAGGAGCGGAAGCACGCTGTCCACTAGGAAGGTTGGGATTTATGCTACTGACCGGGAAATTCGCTTAGCTACATATAGGAACTGTGTGTGCAGCCAAAATAAAATAAGATACTAAGTCACTAATTTTCTCTTTCCTTACCGCTTGGCTTCGTGTTCTAATTAGAAGCACGTTCGGCTGGCAATAGGGAAGTCCAGAATGCAAATCCTGGGGCGGTCATTCGCTGATATTTTCTATTTCAAATAAATACCTAAAGGCTCAACCAACTAACCAAGTGGTTCCCAAACTAAAATGTGGTAGACGACGATAATTCTTCACCACCAGCAGGTGGCGATTAGGTTACCACCTCCCCAACTGCCTTTTAAATGGGGAAGAATGTACGGAATTTTCTTTTTTCTCAACGCATGCTTTCATGATGTAATTAGAAGCACTTCTGGATGGCAGTCTTTAAGCCCAGATTTCGAATCCAGGATAGGTCATTTCTAATTTTTTTTTTTTTGGCTCCTAAATAAACCTAATATTATACATCACCATTCTATGGTGCTCTACTACACTCATCTACAGTAGCACAATCGCAAATAGAGCTACCAGTGCTTTAATATCGAGATTAGTGTACATAGTGACTCTGAAATTGCAGTTTCGATGGTAATGGTTCAGAGGCACATGTTCTACTGTAGTGTGGATTAGGTTAACATGTCTTTCTGGAGCTGTTTCCAAAGCAGAAGGGTGCTGATCATTCTACAGATTTAAGGCGAATGATAAGGCCTTTACCGAAGCTTATAAGTTGGGTAAATCAATGTCTACATGATATTTTTTCTGATTACATACTTTTTGTTTTGTGTGTCATATGGGGACAAACTGTATACTAGTTTTTATGCCTGCTTTGAATCAGACACTAATTTTTGTTTGCAGCACCACTATAGGGTTTGCAGTCATACCCTGCTACACGACACTTGAACCATTAGCATCTATGTTCACATATTGCTCAATTGATTTATTAGTTATAGCTTTATGTGCATACATTTCTTTGTCATATGTGTATGTATTTTAATATGAATCTTTTGTAAAAAATAAATTAGACTTGCATATATGCATAGGCAAGCTAGTTTGCTATACGAAAAGAAAATAAAATTAAAAACCCTGTTCCTTAGACCATATCAACTGGCTGTTTACCCAAGTCACATATATTGCTATAGCACCAGATGTGAAATTTAAATCGACCACTTCATTTGAAAGTTATAAAATGGACATTTGTATACTATGTTATCTTTTAGTACATGCTCAGCTGTTGAATTTTTATGGCAAAGGTCCTGAGGGCTATCTGCTTAAAAGAAGAGATGCCCTTCTTTGAGCACTTTTTGAATGAAACTGACTTGTATTCGTATTAAACATAGGGAAAACTGTAAAAACAGAGATGTAGCTAACCCATTTGATAGAATTCAAACCTAAATTGTATCACCAGTATTCTGTGGTCTTATCTATTCGAGAACCGAAACCGGTGGAATTCTTCTAAAGCAAGATTTTGGTTTATGTTTGCATATAGATATTACTTATGCAGTAGATCATTATCAGACATATAAAAATAGTGATATCAGTGAATGAAATTAAAAAAAAATAATAATTCCATTTTGCTACAAACTTCATACACAGAAAACAAGAGAAATAATGCTTTGAATTTTGCTCATCAGAAGAAGCATTAAATAATACAGCACTTTTGATGAGCACAGTTAATTGGTGTGTATATGTATTTTAATCAGTGAGCTGTTCTAAAAGATTTTTCATGGAATGGTCAGACTTTCTTAATTTCTCAACCAGACTAGCAGCATTGTTCATCTGACATGAGACAAACTTAAATTAAGATATACATAATTTTTAAAACAGGGCACATAAATTTCTATATAATGGCTAACATAAATTATATTTTATGTTAGCCATTATATAGAAAACTGGCTAAATAAACAGAAAATCTAAAAAATACAGCCTCCTATTCCACAAACAAAAAAAGGACAAATAATCTTAAAATGAACTCAATGATTGCAGACTATAGTAATAACAATTTATTCAAAATGAATGTAGATGCAATATTTTACTTTTAAATATGTCAAGAAACTTGTAGTGATCATCCAGCTAATTCAGTTTGCTTTTAAAAAAGTGTGCATTGAAATAAAAAAAAAAAAAAAAAAAAAAAAAAAAACAAGAATTTAAAGAAAAAAGAACAAGAGCTTTTCATTATTAAAAACTGTTATGACCTAGAAGAAATCTAATCATATCCTTTCACATTACCATCCATGCACACCAATCACATAATCATCCAGCTAGTTGGAGAAAAATGGTTTTAGGTAATGAATGTATTTTGCTTTTTTAATTCCCCTGATATGAAACTCAGCCAGATCAGATTCATGAATTTAATTGTAAAATACGGGTATTGAGAAGCAACTGTCATTGGCGAAGGGCTTGGGCATATTGTAGATGACAGTAGGAATCTGCCCCATAGTTATCCCTATGGGACGGACGGATAGAGGACTAATGTCAATTTCAAAAATATGTCTCTGCAATAATATTTTATTAAATTAATTATGTGAGGTTTGTTTGGTGCATTATGAAAAATGAGCACTATTTATGAACAACTTAAGATACTTAACAGTAAATTATCATCACATACATCACAAAAAAGAAATGTATCTCTTTGAGTGTGCATATAGTGAGCTTGGATATATATATATATATATATTTAGTATTATAATATATTATTCTTTTTCATATTTTTATGTTAAATGATAATTCTTAAATAGATAAGAATGAATGAATTTATAAAAACAATCATCTCAACCTTTATAATAAATGACACCTAAAGGTTTTCTCAAAATTTAATACAGTTATTCCCATACATGTTGATTTGGCATCCATAGTTGTTATGGCCAAACTATTATAATGCAAATAACAGAAGAAAAAAAATACAAAATGCATTTTAAATGAGAACAGGCCACATCATGCCAAAATAATTTGTACTAAAATTCCAATCATAAGCAAAAATATACAAGTATAAAATAAAAAATTAAAAAAAAATATTGTTCTGACATCAAATACAATACTGCTTACTTTGCTTATAGTACTTAACATTTTATTCAGGGTTAAATTAAAACATCAAAATTCTCAACATTAGAGATACAGAAAATATATTAAAAATGTATATGATATAGTATACAATCTCAGCATGCACAATTTATCAATTAAATTTGACTTCCTTTTATACGTATTTTTCAAATCATGAGAAACACAGTTTTTGACTGATTTTTGTGATGAAACATTAGAAGATATTTTCCAAGAAGGGATGATGCTTTAAGGCAAACTGGCTTGCATTCATATTACACGTGGAAAAATCATGACGACGCTTATGCAGGCAGTCCATTCACCAGGATTCAAGCTATTAGTGTTCAGCTTCTCACCAGCTTGTCCACTGGCACACAACAGCCTCTTGTAATACATTATCTGCAGACATGAAATCCTTCTGTATTTATATGAAAAGAAAAAGTTATACATTCAATATTAATTACAAAACCCATTTTCATACATGCCTACTGACAAATTATAAGTAATCCTCAACTCATGATGAGTATTGTTCCAATAGTTCCATCATAAGTTCATACTGATGTAACTCAGGGTCTTAATAAAATTATACCTTGGTATGTTTGATTATATTGTTATGAATAAGGCTTCTGTTTCACATGAAAATGGTTTAAGGAGGTATAAACTTATGTGACATTTATAAACAATTTATTTGCATACATTCACATGAATTTTATAAAATTAATACATATACATCCCTTTCATTAGTTGATAAGAACAAAAATATATACAAAATTCTTTTAATTAAAATAATGGATAAGTAACTGTTACTTATTTGAAAGAATTATTGTAAAATACAACTTAGTGAAAAATTATTATTCAGGTATGATCAGAATCCTATAAAAACAATGCATGTATGCATAAGCTGTTTATATTTTTCTGTAAAATAAACATTTGATCTGGACAACTGCATACTTTTATTTCAAGATGCTTTTTTAGTTAGGACTACCTAATATACACTAATGTTTGTGAAAATCACAACCATGAAGGAATTATGCACTTTGAACCAAACTTACATGAAATGTAAAGTGAGTTAAGACATACAAATGATTAGAATTACAAAGGGATTATGCATGCATGAAATGAGAACTGGCAGTTGTAAAGGACTGTAAAGTTGTGCTGAAATCTGTTTATCATCCTCCGTCTGCAGTGAACATTTAATTTGTGCTCAGTATGCCTCGTCAACAGCGGAGGATGCCATACCAACAAGTTTGAACGAGGCCACATCGTCTGTATGCAAGAGGGTGGACTTTCATATCAAACAATCACAGCCCGCACGCAGCACAATGCCACAACAGTGATGCATGTTTGGAAGAAATGGACAGCGAGAACCAAACAAGGTGAAATCCTGGCAATGGGGCACACAACAGCACAGGACGACAAACACCTCATCTGCATGGCTGTGATGGATTGTAGAGCATCCTCTCGTATGTTAGTACAATATTGGAGCACGGTTACAAGTGTTCGTCGCTGTCTGCTGCAACATGAACTGCATGCAAGGGTTCCTCTACGCAGGATTGCCCTGTCGCTGAGTAACATATGCCTCCGACTTCAGTGAGCACTGCAACTCAGTGCGTGGCGTGCTCTGTGGCAACAAGTTGCTTTCTCCAACAAATCTTGCTACAATCTGGAGTATAATGATGACAGAGTATGCATTATTTGATGCATTCCAGGCACTATATTTTAGGGGAAAAAAATGCCTGTGCACAAGCCTTCTTTAAGGTACAACAGGTTTTGCATCTTCCCCAGATATGTTGCTCAATCAGCATGCCTAGGATTTCATCGGTCAGCGACTCGCACGTACAGCTAGTGGGGCACACACTGAAACTGAACTTTCACATCAAGTCAAAGCCATTCCCCAGGATTACATTCAGAACCTATACGATTCAATGCCACGATGTGTACAGGCTCTCGCTCAGCATGACAGAAACCCAAAGTACTGATTTTTTTCCAACTTTTTTCGTTTTTTTTTTTTGTTTGTAAATGTGATCGTTTACTTGTATCACTATCGGTAATATGCGGAATAAATTTCATTCATTTCCGACAATTCCTTCATGGTGTTGCATTTTTCACAAACATTAGTGTGTCTACAGCTTCCAGTGCCTGTTCAGCATCCTCTCGTATGTTACTGAAGATAAATGACTAACTGAAGACAATTTTTAATCTCTATTGAAATGCCCGTAATGATTCATTGCTAAGCACAGAATCTTAAATAACACTTGTCACTCCTAGAGATGCCTCATTATTCTGCCTCTAGTCCATCATCAGAAAACTCCATCAACCTGCTCTGGAGGAAGCTCCACGTTTATAAAATCATTGCCATCATCTTCAAAGGCAGAATTACAGAGGTTCTGGGAATCCCATATTATCTTTAAATTCTTTCAAAGCTTTTCTCAAGCCTTTTCTTGTACAATGCAATCATAAAATGCTTGTTGAAATTCTACTCAGTATCAACTGTAATCTCCAAATGCGGCTTTATGAATTTGTGTCCATCATCTATACAAATTACACTGACCAAAAAAAAAAAAAAAAAAAAAAAAAAGCATTATCTAATTTTTAAAATTATTATCTTATCTTTCGGCTATGCCGAACTGGATGACGAAAGGGGCAATTCTCAGAACCCGCACATTTCCAGGAAACCCATGTAGCTAGGTTACCATTTTCACTTACTACAAAGACAACGCCAAACAATAATCGATTATCGCTCAGATTGGGACCACGTGATCCTTCAGAAGCAGAACTTTCATCTGATTGGTTCATTTCTACCCGGGACAGAGTTTCAGCTGAGACATTTTTGGCGAGGTTTGAAGAAATATCACATAGCCGCTACATTGTTTCTGTAGCTAGGTGGGATTCTTTTTTTTTTCTAAGAATCCTCCCATTTAAACCAGTGCTACCAAAAACTTGTTTCTCAGGAAAGTCCCGTCTAGCAGGGACTGTTGCTAGAAGTAAATAACCGCTTTAATCAACACTCACTAATAATATAGTAAAATCACAATGACCAAAATTAGCCTCAATCCACTATGTCTAATCCGTTTTCAAAACACATGTTTCGCTTTTGTGATAAGAGGAGAGTGGAATGTGGAAATGAACATGAGCTCAGCATAAGAGCGTATAGGTAGTGATCACTTTAGGTTTTCTACAAATGACATTCAGTGGATGAGTTGAATGTTGCCTTTTTTCCCCTCCGAGATAGCTAGATGGTGTTACTAGGTGGCTTAAAGTACAGTCAAAAGTCTTTAATCCGGACCTCAAAGCTACAAACTTTCTGCACATGCTTAAACGCATGCGCATATGCGTTTAATGTATAATGGACGGTATAAGCTAAGCTAAAATTATCTATTTCAGTTAATGTTGCAGATCGCGTTGTTCCTTATTCTTCTAATTGGATCCGGCTTATTATTTTTTGCAGACTGTTAGAGCAATTTTATAAAAAGTAAGCTTGAACTTTCGATTATGTCAAAAAGAGTTTCCGATTCTGGAGATATCAAAGGATTTACAAGCGAAAGCATGTTTTGATGTCCATCAAACAAAAAGTGGAATTGCTGCAAAAAATGGTTAAAGGCATGAAGAAAGTGACAGAGAGGTGATTTTTGTTTCTCTAACCATTCCGAAATCTGTTTATCAATTTCGCGCTGCTCTGCGGGAGAGGGGGGGGTACGTTGCAGCGCACAATGAACTGGAAGTTGATCTGTCAGCACTATCCTCATCTTCAGGGCAGATGTTTTTATTTTATTCGGCTTATAATTCCTCACTAAATGCAGTATTTCATCTCGATGTACTCCGTCTTTGATATGATTTAAATCAAATTCATCATCATTATAAATATCACGAATACACATGAAATAGTTTTCTGGTTGCAATTTTCTAATTTCAACTATGCGTAATGTATGCTTTACACATGCGCACGTTGAAAGAAAAGTTTAATAAAGTAAACAAATAAATATTAAACTTTTTTTTTTGTAAATTTTGATACCCTTTAGATCATAATTGCTCTTTATTTCATATTTTTAATTTTATAATTTCTGCATGCCATCTTAAAAGATTTAAACTGATGAGCTATAATAAAAAAAAAAAAAACGATAATCCGAAATCGCCGAAGAGTCCAAATTAAAGACTTTTGACTGTTTATGATAACCAAATGAGGACCACAGCATTTAATGGGTTAATATATGACATAATTAATTACACAGATTGGAATTTGCTAGCAAGTTTGCCCTTGAAACAGAAAAGAAAATTAAAAATCCTGCTCCAGAGGACATTCCAGCTGGCAACTTTATGAAATTTATATACTACTGTTACGAAATAATTTGATCCAGTTTTGTGAAATTAACAAAATATATGGCATTAATGAACTATACAATCATCTGATGCATATTTTAACTTTGAATGTCAAAACAGAATAGGGATTTTTTTTTTTTTTTGCACTGTGGCTGATTCTTACCTTTAGTCATAAAGATGATTATTATTATGATGCATGTTGCTTTATCGAAGACCTGCCAATGATGGATTACTATATTCCCCCCCCCCCCCCCACTTTACAGTGCTGAAATTTATTAAAAATATTTCCCTCATTTTCCACTTTTTTCAATACATTATTAGAACGAGCTTTCCTATAGTTTAAAATGTATTTGTTGATGTGGTAATCATTGTCTTACTTACAAAGACAAAATCCCATAAATACATACAAAGGTTACATTGAACCTTTCTTCTTGTAATTTTTTTACCTTAATGCCAACTTAACACAAGAACTGTTGAAACACAGTGAAGCAAACACAAACTGACATTCATTCTATGATTTCAGCTGCATACTCAACTTCTCGCCTACGACTCTGCAGTTGTGCAATTCTAAGATGTTTCTTCAAGTAAAAAATCGGTCGATGTGTACATGGATACCGAGGATGTGTAATTCTTAAAAATGCGCCAAGCAGTGGGTGATTCTTCACTTTCTTTGTTGTTTTTCTTGAAGTCCTGTTTTAGATATTTTTGCATGTTTACAGAATTAATTCAAATTTGTAACCGGCGATATGATGAGTTAGCGATTTTCTAAAACACACGAAAAAACAATCGATTTGGCGACTTGGCAATTTTTTTAAAAAACTCGCCAATCTGGACCGTAATATCTAGTTTTACCATATTGCTGTTGTGAAAAGACATGTTTGAAGATGAGTACAAGTTTAACAATTTAAAAATACTGTAATCCTAAAAACAAATCATATGGACCATGGCAGACAAAAAAATAAGAAAGGCACTGCAAAAGCATATGGTTAGACATGGCCAGAATCTCATAAAAAATAGCACACATTAGCTTCTTGGCAAAACATACTTTGGCTCAACTTCGATGTTAATGTTTCTGGTTAAGTAGAAGCAACATTAAAACTGGTTTGCAGTAAATGCTGCCAAATGAACACATAACTGAAATATTTGCTGATATTAAGAAAAATATTAATTTGTTCAGCTAGACATTTAGCACCAATGCTCATCCAATAACAACAACAAAATTATAAATTTGTTCACAGAATGTAATAAGAAATTTGTGTAAATAAGTACATAAGCAAAAACCAAAAAAAAAAAAAAAAAAAAGGCACATCAATATCACTGCCACACCATACAATTACGTTTGAATAAGAAAATAGAGTTATGCGCACAGCATTGAAAGAATACCTTTGAAGTACACCATATTCATTTCTTACCCTGAATCGAGCAGAACCATGTAATTATTTAATCTGCAACTACATTCTGAAATTTAATAATACACACAAATTATATACATTTAATACACATTTTGTACCGAAATTAAATAATTACAAATATAGTTTTTACTAACCTATACATGCAGAAATTCAGGGAAAAAAGATCGCCAGATCGCAATCACCAGTTTGCTTTAAAAAAATGAATTAACATAAATAATTACAATTGAAAACCTATTCATTTAAGCAAATAATGGATTATAAATTTTACCTTACAATCAAGAATGAGAATAGCCATATCACACCCACACCACGCTGCATACAGGCAAGAGAACATTAACTGGGCTTAATAACAAAACAACCATCACAGCAAAAGCTACTGCTTCTTGCTGCAATTTTTAATTTCGCTACAAATAACAGAATAATACTAGAATTGCTTACAATAAGTGTACATAGAATGTTAGGCTTTTGGTATTAATATTACACGCTCTAGCTCGGCTGAAGTTAATATGTTAATGTTTCTGGCTAAGCATGTTCAACTAGATGCATTATTAAAGCTGATTTCCAATAACGTCTGGAAAGTTGAGCGCAGATAACCAAAATATTTGCTCAGCCAGATATTTAACATTACTATTAATACGATATCAAAGAGAACATGAAAAAATGAGTATATTTGTTCAAAAGAACACAGAAATACAAGAATATATTACATTTCGCAGTATTTAATAAGAAAAATGGGTGAATAAGTACATAAATGACACGAATTTTTTTCCTTCCTTTTAACTGCACACACAAACCAATAAACTATATACAATTCATAAATAATTTTGTATTCAAAGTTAATTAAATATTTACAAACTCAAAAATAATTCTTACCTATACATTCAGCAGAAAACGAATTATGCCTATAATTGCGGTCTGTGCAAGAAAAAAAAATAATGATTAAAATTAATAAAAAAGACAATTAAATTAAAAAAGACTATTCATTTAAGTGGAAAAAGCATTAGAATTTTAATTTATTTGAATTTCAACTTAAAATTTGGAACAATAGATATCACTCGTATACTCACCACTACACCATCCCACCACGTTCGAGAACAAAATGGCGCTCGATTCGCATGGCACATTGGAGGCATGTTCATGCGCAGATGGTCTCTGCGCAACCAGTCGTACGTTTAGCATTTTTACCATGTTTGAGCTAGCCGTCCGACGTCGTACGGGTAGACACTTCCTCAAATGAATTGAAACTGGCGAGTATGTGTTTTCGTAAAAGGTAAAGATATCGATGTCAGTCGTTACAGAAATATTATCACAAATATTTATAAATTTAAAAGAAGTTAGAATATAACTGAAAAGAAGTTAAAATTTTTATTTTTTTTTACTTTAAGATATAAATTGAAATTTCCTCAAATAGTATTTCAATGTAATAATTTGGTGACGTCAGAGACATTTGGCGATAGGAAAAGGAGCTTTACGTCGTTTGGTACTTACATTAATTCTACAACTAAAATTATCATATGAAAGTTTTATCATTTTATGTAGGTTTTCTTCATAATAGTTCGTTTAAACTGTTTGCATTTCATATTACTATTATGTAGATACTACAATAATGCAATTAAATAAGACTTCAGTATGGTGGAAAATATACCTAGACCAATACTGTAAATACAACTACAAATATGAGTATTGCTATACGACTGAACTTTTCTGATATGAGTCGCAAACCTTCCACCATTAACTTACAAGGGAGTTCTTTCAAACTTGAATTCCAAATATTTCTATATATATATATATCAACTAATCTAGGAATGCATATTAGTAAAAAAAAATAGCTGCTTATATTCTACAGACAATCAGGAAAAAGACGTTGAAAATTAAGTTTTTGATCGTCAGATGCGTCTGACAAATTTCATCAATAATGACAAACTTTCTGCCGAAATTTTAAACTTTCGTGAAATCTCCAAAACAATGCTGCAGTGCCAAATGTAGTACATTTCTGCATTTTCAGTTTCCATTTCACACTGATTTAGCTATTCATTTTTTATAATAATGTATATATCTAAAGCTGTGTCTACATGAAGAAACATATCTCAGTAGAATTCTCCCTCACAGACATGTCGCCTGACAGCACTTCGTCTGCACAAAGAGATTTTGCATTTAAATTCCTTTTAGTTAATAAGGCAATCAGAACAGTCACAGCATGACGTGATTTGTATGTAATAGAAAAACTTAATCGATCTCACAACAAATATAATTATTTGCAAAGTTTTCAATACCTTTACTTTTCAGGTTTTTTTTTTTTTTTTTAATTACGATGTGATAATAATGTTACGAATTTTGTATTTAGATAGCTAATGTTCGTAGAAGTAAAATTGTTTTATTTCCCCCTGCAGTGCAGCACGTGATAAATTTTAAGAGAAAGCTACGCCAAAAAAGTGAAAATATATAAGAGCACGTGCATTTAACAATGGATAAATGGATAGCTCTTTCATTTGTATTAAAATTGAATAAATGTAATTGACTACTATGTTAGCTGTAACCATAATTCTACTCTTTTGTTTTCCAAAAATCCCGAGAAGCAAACAAATTACCAGAAATTTCTCGCGACCGATGAAAAGTATAAAATGCCAGAGAGAGAATATCTCAGCTCAATTGTTTAGTTACTGTTATTACAAGCAGTTGTTTAGTTAGCTACTGTTGTTATTTTTGATCTCTGCGCTGTAGATTGCGTTCTATTTAACGTTTTAGTAGTTTGAAGGATAACTACAGATTATTACTGCGTGATATTGTAAACACTTGTACAAATATTTCTGATAAAAATTCCAGCCTTCTGTTATATATATATTATATATATATATTCTAAGAATAAATTTTATTAAACATTTGCTATCTAAATACAAAATTCGTAACACAAAATAAATGTGCAATGGACAACGCGCAATAATAATAATAATAATAATAATAATAATAAACAGCGATTAAAAATGCCCGTAAAAAGCAAATAAAATTAATGAAGCCTGAAAACAAAACAATTAATTGTGAAATAAAACCATTTTCGAGCAAAATGCTGCTGAAAAATTAGTTAAATATTGAATAGAGAAGTAATAAATTCCGATCCAATCCCACAAAAACATGAAAGAAATTAAATTTAAAACCAGTGCTATCCCGAAATCCCCAACAAAAAAAAAAAAAAAAAAATGTTTATTTATACAAATGCAGACATTTGGGAAGTAAGCCATTAGTCTTGATCTTGCTTGCCAATACTTAAGAACAATAGAATTAGAAGATAATGGTGCAATACATTCGTCAATATGCTCCTAATCCATGGACTGTCCAGAGTTACAAAGAGTACAGACAGAAGACTTCTTAAGTCGAGTTTAAAAAAAAAAAAATGGGCATTCACACTCGAAAGACTAAATAATGCCATGGCTACAGGATGAAGAAAATCTGGAATGATTGGCTTTGAAGTAGTCAGGCACTTCCAGGCCTTTCCCTTAGCTTCATTTGATAGGAAGGAGGCAAACGTCCTCTTCAATTCTAATTTAATTAGAGCTTTTGCAGAATTAAAAGTCATATGGTTATTAGTGGTGTGTAGAATAGTTGTTCCTTTCTTTGCCAGGAAATTGGCTCTTTCATTTCCCTCGATGCCACAATGAGCACATTGAAGTGGATTTTAAACTAACTGGTTTTGCTCAGTTACTTAGCTTTTCTATCTTTCCTCATTTCCATATCCTGTCAGAATGTTAGAAAGATACTATTTAAACTTTGTATGAGTTACTTCACATAAAGAGTGTTCGTATACGTTGTTTCTCTGATTTAAGCTTATTATTATACGGCCGTGCATATTAATTGCCGGTTTGTGTACGTCGGTGGTAGGGCTAAGAGCCCACTCGCTTTAATTATTTCTGTGTAGCTTCGGCTAATTAGTTAATTTAGTTTTAATTTTAGATTTCTATCTTGATTTGCAGCCAAAATTATTGGCTAAGTTTGTAAGCACCAGGAATGCCATCTGTAAATTTTTTTTTGAGTTGAACAAAGAGTCTTTTCACCTTTCTTAAACCTGATCCAATTTGAACTTAGCGAATATTCGCTTCACAGCTCGAGTAAAGATCTAGCATTCAAAGTAAAATTAATTTATCTAAAATCTTACATTTGGCGCCAGAAAAAATTACTAACCATGTCACAAGACAGTGGAAAATTCAGTTTGGCTTCTTCAAGGCTTCAAGTTCCACCGGCACTAGTTAACCCAATGGAAGGTTTGTGTTCATTATCGAGACTGTGCGGGCTGTTACGAATCTGGTGCTACTTTTGAAGGAAAGAGTTCCATTATGTCGTTCCTGAAACACTGGGATTTACATTTCATATTATATCCTGTTTCGGAATTACAAAAGTTACAATTGGTACGGCAAATTTGAAAGGCTAAGTGTTAAGCGGTTGCGAAGGTTCTTGTTAGGTGAGCCAGGAAGTAGCACTTACACCTGGAAAACATTTAAAAATGCGTTAATAAAATAAAAGCAGTGCTAAATTGAACAGAGGTAAAATGGAAGCTTAACCTTTTAGCAGATATCAAATATACTCTCCTGATATCTTTCATCAGAGTCGAAAGCTGACCGAATTTATTTTAAGAAAAATTTGAAGTCTTCAACATGTTGTTCGGCAAAAGGCCAGATGCTGAGGTGACCGAAGTGATTATACCGAGACTACCGTCAAACGGATGAGACCAAAAGGGGTGGCAATAGAAATACAGAAGGAAAAATTTTGGCGATCACCAGAGTACGACGTAAGAACAAAAACAAGCGGCGGAGAAATAGAGGACGGATGGACAGTTTTTCAGATCTCCACCCCAGCAAAGACCACAGGTTAGCCAAGAATAGGCAGTACTCTTACTGTCAAACGAATGCGACCACAAGGGATGGCATTAGAAATACAGAAGGAAAAATGTCGGCGATCATCAGAGTAAGAATTAAGAACAAAAACAAGAGGCGGGAAACTATTTAAACTGATTCAGGGAACCGAGGACAAGAAGGTACGGTTACCCCTGATGCAAGAAAAGACCTCTACAATTATATTAAATACAGTGGCTGTCAGAAATGTGGTCCACCGGAAATGCAAAATTTTGTTAAATAGCGTGCCATCTACTGCCTTGTTAGATACTGCTGCACTGTGCAGCTTTTTGTAACAAGACTTTAAAAGGAAACGTTTAAAGAGATATTGTGTTTCTAAAGTGATGGGACAGAACATTATAGCCGCTCAGGGCAAGCAATGCATAATTTTCAATTGCATATGCCTCGGGAAAGTGAGTCTGCATGTCCAAATTAAACACGAAGAACAACGAGTTTCTTTCCTTGTAATAAAAAAAATTGCTAGCGCCAGTTATATTGGGGATTGACTTTTTACGCGCGGCAGGCACTAAATTAAATTTTCAGGAAGTCACACTGCAAGTACAGATGGACAAGGTGGAAGGGGAGGATGTCCAAGTGTCGAAAATTGAGGGCAACCATCTGCCTAAGGAAGAGAAGGAAACGCTGGTAAAAACTGAAGGGTTTTCAGCAAGAAGAACCCAGTTCCAGCTTGGTAGATTTTGTGTTCATGGGACTTTTTTGTTAAAAAAATCGTTCTTTGCATTCCAGTAAAAAGCCATTGCAGTAGACGTAAAAATCATTTTTACTAGCACTTTTAATTAAGATAAACATTTACAACATAAGTAAAAAATTTAATTTTTTGATTTTTTTTTTAATTTTCGAAAAATTTTAAAATGTGGAGCTGCGCCCTACTGCAAGCCTTTTCACAACTATTCGATTCTAAGCCTGACTACATCCAAATTGTGAGTCACGAAATAAATACAGAAGAGCTTAGCCCTATAGAGATGA